GTTTTAATTAGTTTTAATAAATTGTATATGAGGAAAGGGAGGGGAAAATAAAAGAAAGTAAAGGGGATTTATAAAAGAACTTGAAATTTAAAGTTAAGTGAGAAGATTTGAGGGGATTAAAAGATTAAAAGAAAATAGAATTGAAGATTTAAAGATTTGAGAGAAGGAAAGAGAGGTGAGAATGGGGATGAGGATGAGGATGGGGATAGAGATAAGAATGGAGATGGAGGTGAATATAATATATATTTATTAAAATTTTATATTGAGGATTAAATTATTGAGCTTCAAATTATTTTAAAAAATTTATAATTCTAATAATGTGACCAAAAGGGTGTTTATAGACCAGCAATTGTATTTAACTTAGAATCTACAGGTGAAGAGCACCTGTAGATGAGGATAGCTACTCTATATATACACAAATGAATGGCCTAGCCGCAATGACTAGGCAAAAAGAAGTCATATTTATCCCTCCAATGATCTTACTTTACCGATAACCATTGATACCTAGTACTTGTCCGGATCTGATCCTCAGGTCACCTAAATCGTATACTAATCCCGAGTAATCGTATCATGTGTGGACATGGTTAATGTACCTGAGGTTTCTTATATAATAAGGGTGGGAGGAAAGCAGGGGTTTCCGTCACATTAGGATTTCTGTAAATTATTTCTTGAAATAAATTGATGTATTTGATTGATTTTGATTGAAAAAATCAAAAAAATTATAGTTTAAGATTATAAATCTCAATGAAACTAATTTCAAAAATCTAAAAATTTTAAAGTTGAATTTATGATTATATAATAAATTTACAATTCAAATTTTATCGAATTCTATAAATTAATTGTAAAGTTATTAATAACTGAAAATGGTAATTTTTGGTGTAAAAGGGTAGTCCAAAAGAGGGGTGGTCCAAAAGAGGGGTGGTCCAAAAGAGGGGTGGTCCAAAAGAGGGGTGGTCCAAAAGAGGGGTGGTCCAAAAGTAGGGTACTAGACTTATTAAATAACAAGCATCTTATCAATTCTCTATTCATTCACCTCATGATCACATTCTATCTATTCCACTTCTCACATCTCGAGGTCTGAATATTCTTTTCTTGAGTATATTAAAAGTAGTTGACTATAATATGTTAAATGCCAAATTTGATATATCCTGTCGAAGTGTGGCGATTACATGGAGAAAATATCTAATGACGCCCAGAAAGAAAGCTTTGTCGAAGAGCTTTTGCTAGTTTGGGTATAGCTTAAGGGAGAATAAGTTATTAGTAAAGATTGGAAACGCGGGAATGAGTTTGATGACAGTAGCGAGTACGCGGCAGTCAAGTGAGTATGGTGATGGCTAAATGTATGATTATATTGCTTTGTGACAGAAATCTCATTATTGATAATGAAAGCATTACGGCAATTTACACAGGAAATAATATCCATACCTTGCAGCCATCGGGAAAATATCTACAGGAACCTATCTCCTGTCTGTCTTATCAATATTATGGCTCGTCCTTGATGCGGACCCCTGGCTGAACTGGCTGATGATATTTTTGCTTGTATGATAGTTAAGAATAGGAATGGCGGACAACTATAACCTTTGTATTGAGATTTTGAAAAATGCAAGTGTTGCTTCCCGAGTCACAAAAGATGATTCAGAGCCTTGTTAGTAAATTATCAACTGCTTACCACCTTCAGAAAATATATGCAATACGCAATCATTTCTTCTCAACTATTAGGACTTTCAAAAACTCTAGACTACGAGATATGAAAACAGCAACCTCATCTAAACACCATCTCATTACATACCAAAACCTTACAGAGAATCAACACAAGTCAGAATCATAGCTACACATCCTCCCAACCTCCACCAATCAAATCTTCACTCCCACACATCCAACAGTGAATACTTACTGACACACTCTGTCGTTATATCCCCAAACAAACCATCTACCCTCAATAACATCCAAGACCCGATGGTTTAGTGGCTAGCCTGGCCAGCTTTTCTCTATAACTTCGACTTGGATGTTCATTGCCACAGACAACGATTTGCAAGGTTTCTGGGTTTCGCCTGGCCGGGGGCGAAATTTCTTTTCTCTTTTGTACTTTGAATAGGTTTTTCTTTTTGGATATAAGACTAGTTAGTCTCTCTTTTTCTTTTCCTTGAGGGTTGGAATAGTTGCAATGATTGACCGTTCGTTGAGTTGTGTATGATTGGAGGTGGTGTTGAGAGTAAGTGGGTTTTGGAAGGAAGCAAGTGAGGTTTAGGAGAGTGAATAGGGGATGGAAGCGGGGTTGGGATACATATGAGACAATGAGACGATGAGTAAAGCTGCCATTAATGCTGGATAAGAATGACAAGATTAAGTTACTAGGCGGCGAATGTGTCAGATAAGGCCAAAGACTGACTGGGTAGGATAGTTTTGACAACTAATAACCGCGTCAAGGATTGAGTATGAAATCTCCAGGACTCCCCCATAGGCAGTGGATCTCATCCCCTACTCTATCACAAATCAGGCATTACGCCTTGATATTCACTCTCAAAAATTCCAAGTCCTGATTAATAAGATATAAAAATACAATGAAGATTGGATCAAAAAAACTAGCATGGGCGGAAAGTAATTGATCATGGAACGTAGAAAGATTACAGAACTGGCTGAAGGTGCCACTCCACAGTGGCAAGTGGGAAAATGTCTTAGAAGTGAGAAATATCGAACAAGTATCAAGTAAATACGAGCCTGAGATAAATGGTAGTCAAGGGCTGCATAGTAATTATGGGATCATAAATAACAGCGAAAAATGAGCTCCATGACAAGGAAACAGGGAGACAGACTAGAATAAAGTATTATGAATTTTCGAAGACACTGGAAATAATAGTATCAGAGAATATATTTACATCAAGGTGACATGAAAAGGTGACCATTCCTAACCTCATTTATTTGACTGTTAAATCAAAATTGTTTTATAAAAATCTTTTTTAGTGGGACACAACTCTTTTATAAGTCAAGCGAACAAACTTCCTTCATTAGCGCTAGAATGAGAGATGGAAATATGAAAGGGAAGGAGATTGAGGATTTGAGAGTGCTTGAAAGACGTACTAACGAATAATTATGCTGTGATTTATAAAGTTCAGTTTACGCTAAAGTCGATGCCAATTTCTGTTTCTAGAGTTCAGTGCCTAACTTCTGCTTAGTGAAATAAGGAGACCAAACTGTTGGTTATAAAATAAAGCATTTGACTACTTAGAGGTTCTAGATGCAGGGAAGAGTTATTGATTGAAGAATCCAAGGAGCAGCAGTTGTGTATGGGTAGCAGAAAGCCACATCAAGTACCGGTGTCGAGCGTCCAGGGAAGTGGTGGTGTTTGAACACTAATTGATTGATTTTAAGTACCAGGCTTAGAGTATAGGTGACACGAGTTACATAACAGTGAGATTGAATATATCAATGACAATGCAGGATATAATGAACAGTAGCGTAACATAACTATAGGCGTAATGAAAGCCAAATAATTAACGCGGTTGAAAAATACAATTGATCAAGCGAGAAGGAACAAAAACACGACTTTATATATGCCGTGCCGTACCTTCTTGCTATTAACTCTAGCCTCATTATAACCAGAAAATCAAACACAAAGATGAATATTATTGTTGAAATTTGTTTGAAATTCATTGTTGTTTTGTTTTAGAGTGCTTGTGAGTAATTATTCATCATATTTATTACATACGGCCCGGGAGGAACTGCGGGGTCGGACAGCTATGGCATACTTTAACGGTAATGGAGCTAACTACACATGGGCTTACTATTAATCAACCTACTTTGATGATAGATAAAGACAATAAACATAATGCTATGTTAAATTAGTTCCGGCATTCAAACGGAGCAGGACCACTTGATCTAAATCCACGGTTATCCATCCCATATCATCTCCATGCACGGGACCAGAAATGAATCCAAAAAGGTAGCGTGCAGTGAAGTAGGTTTGGTTATAGACACAGCAGTTACTAATTCCCCATCAATTAAAAACCCGAGGAAGATGAAAATTTGCAACTATGAAGCATAAAAAGAATTTATTGAGGAAGATAAAGTAGGAATGGAATCAGGTACGGAAACAACGCCGCTTGCGAGGCATTCAGGAAACTTGGGAAAATGGTCGAATTTGAAAAGCTCTAGAAGACTGCCGGGAATTACTCCTTCATGTTCATAATGATAACCTTGCGCATGCAAGAGCGCGCTAGCATATAGTCATTGGCTGCATACGTTTCGCCTTCGTAAAGTCATCAAGTTAAAGATGTCCTGGTAGCTCCGAGCGTATAGCTAGTTATAGCTCTCAAGAATGAAATTTGACCAAACATACAAATTTGGGGCTCATAATATTGATAGAAATCCAGTAGTGAAGATGTGCGGATTGAAGCACATGTTTGTGTAGGGGAGCATCGCCTTAATAACTACCTAGTTAATAGAGGATGCGGGGTGCTCATTCGATGAAACGGGATGAAGAAAGAAAACTCCTTATATCCCAAATTTGCGAACAATACATGGAAGGAGTCATCCAAAGGAAATGAGGAACCCTTACATGAGAGCGAGGTCAAGGATAATTAAGCTGCAGAACATTGTTCGATAGACGATAGACGTGTGGCAATTGGCTGAGCTTAAGATCGAAGCATACAACCTGCAGCAGTAAGAAGACAGTGAACTTATTTATGCGTCTAACTGATTTGTACAAGTTATCCGCACACCTTCAAAATCAATCTCCTTATTAGTTCATGCTCCTCAGGGTTTGTTTCAAACTCCGGTTCTTGATTCTTCAGGACACCAGTGGAATCTGATAACATCATACACAATAACTGATGTCTTTGATGAAGATTCTGCCAGGAATATGATGTCTCCATACCAGAAAATTATGCTAGATTTTATTGACTTCATTCGAGGTTGTGTTTACCAGTTCGAGATGGAAAAAAGAATGAAGTTGAGCAAGTAAAGCTAACCGCATTAGTAGTCACTACGCACAGATATGTAAATGATAAACACACTCCACCTATACTGGTTAACGAATAAGAAGTTTGGATCCACTAATTGATATACCCCTCTTATTACTCACACCCTGAAACATTACAAGTCATCCACGTTTCGGCGATTTGCCTAGAACCACAACTTTGTACTCTAGAACTTTCCCCATACCAAACGGTTCCTTTGCTATTTTTCTCAAACGGGGCCTTATAAAGAAGTAGAATTCACATCGCAGCTGGTCGAAGACGCTAGCGTGTGGAAGAGGAGTGTGGCGTGTGCTAAATTGATGTTTGGGTGTTTTGATCGACTAGGTATCAACAACATTGTCAAGTTATAAATATCGCCGCCATCTCGTCGTTTATATATTTTGTTTAGCTTTCCTATCAACTGTTTAGGAGTAAAAATTTTGGCCAATTGTTGCATCTAGAGTACAGGTAAATTTTGAATCATTTATTGCGTTTGCTTCCCTTCATTCATCCTTGTCAAAATTGTCTTTAGTCTGGTCATGATCTGGTAGTCAATAGACACTAACTTATCATTGTAGTTCTCATATCTAACAACTCATTGAGACAATTTGTGCTGTTCATATTCTAGAAATATCAAACAGATTTCATAGACAATCGAAACCATGAGAATCGCTTGCTTACAATTCGCCCCTCAAGTAAGGGTCCATAGTCACAACATACGCAAATACAGCTAATATCTTATCAAAGGTTGGAGATGTCGACAATAACTTTAAAAAGGCTGATGCGATACTCAGTAAAGCAGATCCGGAAGACATCGATCTATTAGTCCTACCTGAGATGGCATTTTCTGGTGAATTCCACGTCCTAGATATCCTAATGATAGTTCCTTTTCAACTTCATACTAACTATTATACAGGCTATAATTTTACCTCATTGGGGCATATTACTCCTTACCTTGAGCCAAGTACTTCCGGTGTTACATCTGCATGGGCGCGCACGATAGCTCTCAAACACAACTGTATAGTTACAGTTGGTTATCCAGAAAAGGTTGATCACTTTTCAAGAGTTTCAGCGAGACCTGAGTACTATAATTCTGCTGTTACAGTGAACAAGGAGGGTGAGCCTATTGTTAATTACCGAAAATCATTCCTTTACTATACCGATGAGACTTGGGCTCATGAAGGATCCGGTTTCTTTAGCGGAGAAATTGATGGACTAGGGAAAGTAGCCATGGGAATATGTAAGTGGCTAACACATGCTATGAGAGTGGCAAATTGTTCCACAATAACCATAATAATTTCAGCAAAACTTACTAACATCATGCTCATAGGCATGGATTTGAACCCATACAAATTCGAAGCTCCATGGAGTACCTGTGAATTTGCCTCTCATGTACTTGAGAAGAAAGCAAATCTTGTAATTGTGTCAATGGCCTGGCTTACAAGAGAAGACCAAATTTCTTTTGGTCTATTAGCAAAAGAACCTGATATGAAAACAATTTCTTATTGGATTACCCGATTGGAACCTATTATTCGAGCCGAAACCGATGAAGAAATCATCATTGTTCTTGCCAATCGATGCGGAACTGAAGGCGAAGCAACATATGCAGGGACAAGCGCAGTTCTAGGTATTAGAGATGGCGAAGTCAGTGTATATGGAATTCTTGGTCGGGGCGAGGAGGAGCTTTTGGTTGTTGATACCGATGAAATTCCTAGAGCAAAAATTGTTTCAGCGCCAAGGTCAACCGAATCTACTTGAGGTTTTACCAATGGTTAACTGAAACCCGATCAGTCAACGCGAGAAGTAGGGTTACTAGAACGATTGTTGGTACCTATCAGAAAGAAATCCGACCGCAGCTACATCATTAGTTCAATAAAATTGGATTCTCTGCCTCAAACAAATTTTATCCCACCATTTTCGCTGCTAATTTGTTCCGCTCTGAACTGAATGTATCATGATCGCGAAGAAAGAGAAAATTTTAAGCTCTCAAATCTAGTAAGTGTCTAACATTATTCTGTCTCTATGGGTCCCGAAATTCAATTGCCATGGCACCCGAAATACTAGGACGCTGTCCACCTGCTTCAGTTCTTTAGGTACCTCGTTGTTTCACTTACTTGTTGATATAATAGGAATCCTATATTTGGGACTGCGCGTTCCGGTACGTGAATAGATCTCTCGGGTCCGGGCACAAGCAAAAACTCGTGACACCAAACCGGTCAATCAGTCGGTCCATGTCACCACCCGTTCTCTGGCCGAGTTTAAAAGAAATTCTATTTTTACGTATGTTATTAAATCTTTCCCGCTCCGATATATCCAGAAAGATATTCGATTTCTTATTAAATACTATTCATTCTGTGTTTACAAAATTAATTACGTTTGATCGGACAAAAACTAACAAATATCAAAAGTTACACAGTACGTGATTCCTCGGAAGACACCCGCCCAATAATCCGAGAACTCGGTACGATCACACCCACCACAAGCCGAATCACAATCTCCATCCATCCAATCCCATCTAATCCCGTCTTTTCAATCCCTCCCAAAATCCAACACCCATCTCCACATCCACAAATCAGCTCAAACCTCGGAACCCAAATCATATCACTCGGTACATTTCCTATATTTTCACGACTTCCACCCATGTAAAACCAAGTAATACCGAAAAACATTCGGAACTCGGTACATGGAACGCCCCAAATTTCGGTCGCGGCGTGGGGGATATAATAAGCCAATGTTGATCAGCTCGGAGTCGGGTTTCGGTATGATGTGCAACAAATTTTTTCGAGGGGGATTGTGAGATGTGATGGATTGGTTGTTTGGGGTTTAGGCGTTGTGAGATGTGACTGCTTTGGGATGGGAAATTGCTGCTTGGGGGGTTCGGTGTAGGGGTGGTGGAGTGGTGGTTCGGGAGGTGGAGTGGTGGTTCGGGAGGTTGGTGTCGGATGTGGGAATTGGTGGTGGTGGTAGTGTTTATTTTCGGGATGGTTGGGAATTAGTGTTATTCCTTTCTCTTTCTCCTTCTTCTTCCTCTTCCTCTTTTGTTTCTTTTGGTTTGTGTGTGCTTCAGGCACTTACTTTAACATCGACAGAAGCAATGAAGTCTCTGCTTCCTTCTATTCCAAAAGACTAATTCTTCCTGCTATTTAGCCAGATTTCCAACAGTCAAGCATCCCACTACATTCATTTCGATTACATTTACGATTTCAAGATTCCGAATCGGATATCCCGCATCAATGTACAATCTCGTCACAATGCAGCTAAATGCAGTATCGGAAACCGACATTCCCTAAACGAGCAATCCAGCTAATTCCCGAGGGCTCTCATTCCTCTACTCACTATTTATCGTCGCCGATTCTCGAATTCTCATAAATTTCGGGGGGTAAACCGGAGGATATATAACTTCACGCTCAACACAGAATCTACATGTACTCGGGATCGGCCTGGATATGTCGATCGGTGAACCACGCAGATCAATATCGTCGGCCTTAAGACGGAGAGATGAGCTTGAGAGGTATTTTAAGAGCTGAATCCCGCGAGTTGGGAATGTGGAAATATATACACAAGTGGTAATGGCAGTGCAGTTACTAAGAGGGATACCATATTCTGGTTGCGTCAATGGTTAAGTAATCGTGGACTAGATCAGTGGATGATGAATGACTTTGTTTTAATGGCACTGGATATAGTTATTCTATAAATTCACAACTATACATCAGAGGAGCAGAACACATCTACACTACCTGCAAGTGCAAGTGCAAGTGCACAATACTCGCTCAGGGAAAATGTAATTAATCCTTTTATAATTGAGCGAGCAGGCTTATAATTACAGCCAGGAGTTTCATGTTAAAATACAAAATAATAAGATTACCTACCTACTTATATAATGAGTTGAGCCAAAGTTAGCTTTTGAAAAATCATATTTACGGGAAGAGTTTATTATTACTTCACAAGGCGTCAGATATATTATACCATAACACTTCTGTGTTTCTCAATAAGATTAGCCTTCTTTCGAGTTAATTTTTACTCCTTTTTTTAAAAAAAGAAAGTTTTACATGGGAGTTTTATTGCTGTGAATGCTTCTGTAGTGTTATTGTTATTTCTTAAAAATCAATATCGTCTTGAATATAGCTTTTTATTGTTCCTTTTTCTCTTTTTCCATTTGTTTTTCTTCATCATCAAATCCACATATTCCATCACACCAAGCTCTATCTATACATGTACTTCAACATGGGCACCTACTCCCATCTCTCGGATTTCAACTTCAAAACAGCTGGGAAGAATATCTCGTGGTATTTGAGAAGAGGAATTCTATATATAAGAGTCAAGAGTAGTCTTAGTTCAAAATTAAGAGATTCAATTAGATCCAATTCAAATTTATTTATATATATACCTAAAAATTAGTATTAAGGACTTGATTTTTAGAAGAATTAAGTCGTTGATTGGTGGGATGTAAGTATTAGAGGGTGTGGAGTTTTCACTTCTGACTTTAACTAATTATAGTAAACCATGATTAATTAGTTGGTAGATTTCCAGACTGTAGTAGAACTTACTAGTGTCTTCTATCTTTCCCAAAAAAAACCAATTTAAAGACAGGAGAGATAAAAAGACGCTCTTTAGAACTGGGAAGATATCAACAGTACCGGAAATCACTGTTGGAGATGCCAAAATGGGGTGTGGATGTGAGAGTGCTGATATTGATGTATAATACGAGATGAGAGCTCGAGATTGAAGTGTTATTGACTTGCGAATCTGGGGATATGATGTTGTGGGTAAGAATACTTTGATTATTGTTAAAGTTTTCCAATTTGTTTAGATGATTGATGGCTTTTGTTGTCTTTTAGATGAGATTAATACTATTGTTTTCATTTTTGCCTTTTTGTTGTTTTAATCGCGGTTGATTATCCATCCACTAATTACCACGAAAATGAGGTTATATTTTCCATCTAGTAGCTAATCCAGTATAGATAATTCTACAAGGAGGCAAGATAATAATTTTGTAAATATGTGTACTCTGATCAATGGCCTCCAATCTCGGGCCGTGAGATCGCATCTCTTGATTCGATTTATCTAAAACAATAATCAATAATCCAAGGGAACAAATTTATACACACCATACTTTTAAAGCCTACCTAGATCAAGATCCATCGGCAAGAGTCTCCGCTTTACCCTCGATATAATCCTACTACAAGGAATTGATTCACTTCCTAAATAGTACGCACCGAATATTTCACAAGCTTTGGATATAAAAACCCCTCCTAGAAGCAGTATTCAAAAGCTACAAGAAAGTATAATGACAATGGCGAAGGTAGAGGAACTGTGTGTCACCAATCTTTGACTCCTTGAGGTTATTAAAAGGGATTTATATCTATTTTCGCATCGAATGATGGCACTGTCCTAGAGCGTTAAAGTTAATTATGTGCCCGACTGGCTAATTTTCATCCATTGCAATATAATTTCCGCTGTCATAATTTCATATTGTTACTATCTCCGAATCCTCTGACTATTATCTTTTTCCAAACATAGCCCGCTTCCCTCCACCTCCTTCTCCTTTAATTTGTAATCTCGAGCAAGTTTATAATTACACAGTATCTGCAACATAACTCGGCAAATCATCCCGAATCAATGCTCCTCAATTTTGAGTTCTGGTAAGAACGAGTGTGATGAGTACAATAATCACAGAGGTCATTTATACATGATACTTTTCCCCTAGAATAAAACGAAACATCTCACAATCGAGGATACATAATACTATTTGAGTGTTACATATATCCACTCTCTAATTAGATTCTACAGAGATAATAGAGCATTAGCTCAAGAGTTACGTATAAAATGATCTAGAGATGGTATTGTAGGATTGGTAATCGGAGAAAAGATATGTTCGTGTGTGGGGGCATTAAAAGATTGATGTTTACCGAAGAGGTAATATTGAAGTAGATATGTATGATTTTTTGGAGTTTAGGTTTGGGTATGATGTTTGTTCTCTAATATATATATATATACCTATTTTATATATCTTGTTGTTAGTGATAATAACCAATCAGTCATTATTTTTCAAACCTGTCTTTCATCACTGTTGTACATGTCATATATTATCATCATCATCCTCACATATCTTCAACCACATACTCCAAAATCTCAATTAATCCGAGGTTTGATAAGAGAAACCCAAGAAAACCTTCCCTTCATTAAAAAAGACCAAAAAAAAACCAAAACAATACAACTAAGACTTATAATATTAATCTCCATATCTCCTACCCTCATTCCTTGCCATATATGTCGACGCAGCTACGGAGTGATCTACATGATCGATATCTAGATAAGTCTAGTACCCTACTTTCCGGCCACTGTTACGAGGTTTGCCGTCTAGATCACGTGGAAGTGCTCTAGGCTCTCGAGGTAGTTTATAACTAGGCGTCAAGCAGGGACTTAAAGTAATGACAATAATGATATGCAATTCGTAACTAATAGTAGAGTATACTAAATGATTGATCTTGAGCACGAAGCTCTATACAAAGGAAATCCATCTTGATTATATAGACCTTCATGCCTATGGCTAGTCAGGACCGCTGCGCGGTCCTGGACAGCCAGCGTTCCTCAGCGGTCCATAACGTGACTTAATCACGTTACCTTGGTTTAGTCATGTGACGCGGTGTGGAAGATAGCCGTCGTAACAATTTTCGAGATTTTTAAATTTATATGTAAATCCTATACAAATCGAAAATCAAAATTTTAACCTTCAATTTCTCGACCAATAAAATCACGAAAAATCTGAAATTTTCAGAATCTATTATTATATAAGTAATAAATCTATATGTCAAATTTCAGCAAATTATATTTATAAATAAAAAAGTTATAAATGACGATTTTCGTCATTTTTGATGAGAAAAAGTGGCCGGAATTAGGGGTGGCCGGAAAGTAGGGTACTAGACTTATTGAGTTCTTTATATACCCATATCTCAAGATAAGATCCTATAATCCCTTTTCCCCTCCCAGTTCCCATTCTCGCGCGGAAATCTCTTCTCACATCCCTCCCATTCACTCTCATAAATCATCAGTCAAGCACTCTAGTAAAACAGTCAGTTGTGATGTGTCATTCACTTACCATCTATACAGTTCTCATTCTCACTAATAATTTACTTCCTATGGCTATAAAGCGTCCAATCTAATCATGAATCCTATCAACCACAACAGCATCGTGGTCTTTTTTTTAAGAAGAAAATGTCATTTTTTGGAGGTAGCTGGAAGGACGGAATTTCTTGTTGACTGCTTGCGTCTTTTGATGGGTATTTTCAACCAGGGCCTTGGAGTATATCGGATATAGATTGGGTTTCTTGTCCAGATATTACCGTTGTTAAATTATGAAATATTATCATTGTCATTCTCTAACTATATGCTATCCTTTTTCCATTTACAAAACATTTGACTCATACTTCTCGCTCTAGTAACCTAGATCCCACCTGCGAATTTGTCTGACCATAGTTAGTACAGAAATCAAAAATAAAACCATAAATCACACTCACACCTCTTTGTCCTTCAATGGCTCTCTGATCGTTCCTCAGCTTTCTATGTCTAATAGTAATAAGCATACGGTGTGTTTTCCTATCGTTTTACAAGTCTTACTTATTTATATATCAACACTTCCACTTCCACGTGCTCTTTCATATTCCCCTCTTATAAGCTCAAGAAGATCCTATCCTCAATCCTCGAACGTCAATCCTCGAACGTCAATCCTCACTCTTGACCACACAAGTACAAATCCAAATCCAAAGAAACAGACAATAATCAATAAACAACAAAAATCTTCCCAATTTCCATCCACAATCATAAACTTTCCCCATCACTCAACAATCACCACACTCATCTTTACCGTCATTCCCTCTTAATCAACTATCGATCTTCACATAACATCATATTCTACCCTAGTAACATAACATTTGAACTAAATACCCTCTCAATTTTATACATTTTAATTAAATAAAACCAAAGCCAAAGCCAAAGCCAAACCAAAATACCAAACCCACTTTCTTCCCTTTCCCCTCCATCCCCATCCCCATAGCACCTTTTGTTTTCCGCATAACACACAAACACAGTAATCTCATCCTCCGCAGAAGTGACTATTTATACACTTCCCAACCTTACACAAGTATCCCAGCCAAACCTATAGGGTCTTAATTTGCACGTGCTTTTTTCTCTTCCATTTTCCTTCCCTACTCCGTTCCTATACTCTCTACATCTTATTTCCTGATATGTAAATACCCTTCCTATAGCACAAAAAAGAAATCAAACACCTCTCCAAACGATCAAGTCAAGGAGTTAGGAATACATCAATCTAAGAATTCAAACACTCACCCCTCCCCTTCCCCTCTCAAACCTCAACAATCCACCTACCTAGTACCTACCTCATTCCCACAACAAAACATACAATCCTAACAGAAAACCCTATTATCATTTCATCATCCCATATATACACATATATATACACATACATATAATAAACTACAATACAATAACCCCCTATCCACACATTTTACCAGTCCCCCAAAAAATCCAAAAAAAAGCTGCCCCCAGTTAGACAGATAGACAAGCTACACATTGATAATGAGTATAGTGAAGAAACTCTATAGATACTCTATAGGTGGTATTAAACGGGATAATAAGGGTAGGATAATAGGAAAATCTGATGATGAGAAAATGGGATGGAGGGAATTAATATCGAAGTGTAAATGATGGATGATGATATGATGTACCTTATGTCGTTTGTGTATGTGTAGTAAATTTATTATTATGGTTTAGAGAGGAAGATGTTTAAAAGATGTTACAAGTCGAGGTGAGATGTAGTAGCTGTCAATACAACTTCTATGATCCCATGAAGATGGCAACTGTTCAGCTTCATTGACTAAAGTAAAAATAATCAAGATAGTCACACGACGCAATCACTGAATCACACAACCAAGCGGATGTAACAAAAACACAAGTATATATAAGATCCCACAAGGGCTAAATTATTAATTCAATTTGACAACACCAAACTCCAACGCATGAAAGTATCTATAATACAATGTGATTCTTCCGTATCAATCAATCTCCTCCTAATCTATGTCCTGATCCACGACTTTTCCATGATTCAGGTAGAACACTTCCAGATGAACCAGAAGTAGAGGCCGTATTTGGAGATCGTTGTGCTGGTGCGACAGCAGTACCATAAACTCTTTGAGTAGTGGTAGTTTGAGTTGTTTCAAAAGCTCTTCTAATGAAGCCAGGGGTTGGAACAAGATTTCTTCCACCACCGAAAGTAGGCCAAAGTCTTGTCAAGAAGTCATGTAAATGTGCGGCAACCAATCCCGTTGCTTGAATTTTGGCTGGACCAGCACCACCCATCACAAGAGTCATAAGAAGCATGGCATATGGAATCCATGGTGCTGGAATAGTAACGACGAAAAAGGTAGCTTTCATGCCACGATCATCTTGTGTCGATGTGTATGCGAAAGCTAATACCAATGCTGAAGTGAAGATCACTCCGCCAGTTATGAACACATTCAATCCCTGCGCATTTGTTAGATGAGATTTTACAAGGTATCTCTTGAAATAGAAACACCAAGTATTTAACATCTCAATGATAATAACTTGAAATGTAGGGAGCCACAACCACCCGAGTTAAGTTGAGGAATCAACACGAGTTTTCTCATAGGAACTTCCCACCATGCCTACACCTCAATTGATCCTATTTGTTGTTTTGCGAATGTCGGACCAATTGAGAATGTAAGGGTAATCTTCCTCGTTTTAGGAACCGTTGTAGCTGAGAGCGTTGCACTAAACGGGCAGTATAGAGGTGTGGTATGAAGAGAAAGAAGAAAATAACAATGCCTACCAATATCGTCGCACAAACAAACAATACATATGTCAAGAAATCTCCTGGTTGAGAGAATCTAGGCGAAGCTGTTTCAAGCTTGCTTCCATAAGTGTATACTGTTGTTTCCTTGTAAGCCAACCTATCCTGATTGTATTGCGATCTTTCGAGTCTTACGAAAGTATGTGTCGAAGAGAATACCCAAATCTGGGCCAGTGATGAGAAACGGAGTGAGAAGTCGCCATAATTGTGGCGGGAATTGAAATATGTTCTGTAGCAAAAATACGACATGATACCCAGCAAGAATATGAGAGTAGACTAAAACTGAAAGAGTCAAGGCACCGGCAGCCAAAGTCCTAAACTATCATCAGCATCAGTATTTAATGATTGGCGCATCTTTCGCAGATGGCATTGCGCATACCTTGAAATGGGCGGAGCTGCCCAGAATACATCCATTGCCGACATGATAATTGTACGGTATGAAAAAGATGTTGAAAAGTTTGTCAATGAAGCTTTAAAAAGCTTGAGGTTGAGGAAAGAAGAAGAATAGAAAAGAACTTTCGCGATTTATGAAAAGTGTTCTTTGCGAATGGCGCTAAGGAAGCTTTAGAAGGAGCTAGTATCCACTATAGGTTAGTGCGGGACATTTGCAGGACACTTGATCCTTGACCTCACTGTTAGTCACTTTCTCTGTACTTGTTATGCATTGTAACCTCGATAGGATTTTGTAAAATAATCATAAAATTGAAGAACCAATCGAATTGAAAATCTTAAAAGGTGAATAAAAAGTTTAGTTTCTGCTTCAGGAAGTATGATTGATCAGTTAATTCTAACAAAATGGTTAAGACATCTGCAAACAGTGAGTCAATGTTGATCTTTATGCATGCATGCAATGGCCGATTACGGATCAACCCCACCAAGAAATTTAATCCCATCGGTATGAGTTGTTGGTGAAGTAAAGTACTCAATCTTTTGTTTGAATATTTTATTTACATTCAACTTATTCTCCAACAATTTCAATCAAATTAGACATCATGGCTGGATTTGATACAAAGTGAGCTTTCACGCCATATTTACCCTAATTTATCCCTTCTAACATTTATTCTAGGAAAGTTCTTATGCTCGGTGCGGGCTTCGTTACACGCCCTACCTTGGATATCCTCAGTGAAGCAGGCATTCAAGTTTCCGTTGGTACATATAAAATCTCAATTCCCTTCTAAATTATGAATCTGACTTCCCCCAGCATGCAGAACCATTGAAAGTGCAAAGAAGCTCTCCGAAGGTGTAAAGAATGCCCACCCAATCTCCCTCGATGTTACAGACGACAAAGCTCTCGATGCTGAAGTTGCAAAGAACGATTTGGTCATCAGTTTAATCCCATATACCTTCCATGCGACCGTTATCAAATCTGCCATCCGAAACAAGAAGAATGTCGTTACAACTAGTTATGTTTCTCCAGCAATGATGGAATTGGACGAAGAAGCCAAGAATGCAGGTATCACAGTTATGAATGAGATTGGTTTGGATCCCGGAATCGATCACTTGTATGCTGTTAAGACTATTGAGGAGGTTCACAAGGCTGGTGGAAAAATCACATCTTTCTTGTCATACTGTGGAGGTCTTCCAGCTCCAGAGGATTCGGATAACCCTCTTGGTTATAAGTTCTCGTGGTCTTCTCGTGGTGTTTTGTTAGCATTGAGAAATGCTGCAAGATTCTATAAAGATGGAAAGATTGTTGATGTTGCTGGTCCAGAATTGATGGGTACCGCCAAACCATACTTCATCTACCCAGGATTTGCATTTGTCGCCTACCCAAACAGAGATTCTACCCCATACAAGGAGCGTTACAACATCCCTGAAGCACAAACTATCATTAGAGGTACTTTAAGATATCAAGGTTTCCCAGAATTCATCCGTGTATTGGTTGATATGGGATTCTTGAGTGATGAGGATAAAGGATTCTCCGAGCCAATTTCCTGGAAGGAGGCTACACAAAAGGTTCTCGCAGCTTCTTCGAGTTTCGAGGATGATTTGAAATGGGCAATTGCTTCCAAGGCAAAGTTCGAGAGCACTGAAGAAAAGGAACGTATCATGAATGGTCTTAACTGGGTTGGTATCTTTTCTGATGAGAAGATTATTCCCCGCGGTAACCCTCTCGATACTCTTTGCGCAACTCTTGAGAAGAAGATGCAATTTGAAAAGGGTGAACGTGATCTCGTCATGTTGCAACACAAATTCGAGATTGAGCACAAGGATGGAAAGAAGGAGACTCGTACATCCACATTAGTTGAATATGGTGATCCAAAAGGATACTCCGCCATGGCCAAGTTGGTCGGTGTACCATGTGGTGTTGCCGTCAAGCAAGTACTCGATGGAAAGATTAGTGAGAAGGGTATCCTTGCACCTATGACCAGTAAGATCAATGACCCATTGATGGAAGAGTTGAAGAAATACGGAATCACATTGGTTGAGAAGACTATCTCTTAAATCATGATGATTAGATATACCTAGATGAGATTAAAAGTTTAAAAGAATACGAATTATTTAGCCGTAGTCAGGATCGTCACTTCATGCCTCCCCCTTTCTTTGATTTCGTACGACCACTCAGATGAACACCAAGCTTACACTCCAATGCCGAGAGCCTCTCAAAGAAAGAACCAAAGAAAAAAAGCCCACGAATCCCAATCTTCGCAATCCTTCAACCAATCTTCACTATATCTACCCTGAAGAATACAATTATATCATTACAGCAAAAGTACGTCTGAGATACACACAGCAATCTTGATCCCTAAGGAATAGGAGTTTCCATCATGTTTGGGATCTCACAAGGCCATTCAAACCGCTTTGTATCGTCACAACTTTACAGCAGTATGATATATTTCTGAAAACATAAAGGAGCTTTGTAAATAGTGGAGGTTTATTTGGAGCTATTATTTGCCTAGAATTTTTTGTATGTTGGATAAGTAAGTCTTACATCTTTGCTTGAGCACCATTGACGCTGGAATATGCAAGGGTATCAAATCTATTGTACAAGATCAAATTATTTGCAAGACATTTCCCCGCGTGACGCCCGATACTTCGGTAGATGCGAAAGATCCAACTTTCTATAAACGCTCCAAGTATTACTTGATATATCTGATGATAGCCTCTTCATCTACATCATCGACAAAGGAGAGTTTTGGGCGTATGCCTGGTTCATTATTTAGCGAAATTTTTGATAGGAATTTGAGTGATACGTACCATAGGCTTAATGTTAGGATGAGGTACTGCATCAAACTTGTGGAAATCCAATTTATAATCGGGTCCAATATTGATATAAGCTCCCTTGTTCTCTGTACTGTCGCAATACCTAGGTGCTGAGAAGACTACAATATATTAGTTGTGATTTGTAACAAATTGGATAGGAATTGACATACCAGTAATACATTTTCCATCATGTTCCTCCTCATAACCTTCCATTCGGACTTCGTGACTACGAATAATAGCTTCCAATCCATTGTTTTCGCAAAACCTTCTGGTAATATCTGGTCCAAATTGCATGCCCACACCACGTTTACTAGGACCACGACCAGGCTCTTTTTGTGGATCAGTCCATAACATCTCCATCATCAATCCTGCCTGACCTGGTTGGCGTTGATTATGTCTGTTCAAAGCTCGAATGTCGTCTAATGTGATCTTATCATCAGAGAATAAACCTCCATGAAGTACAAGATATTTTTTGCCAATGAGAGTTGCTAAAGGCAGGGCCGAGAAACTTTCCGAAAATAGCTTGAAAGTACGTTCTAATATATATTAGTTGAAATCTTCATAGGGAGTAAAATTTACCGAGATTAGGACGACAGCTTACCATTATATTTCGCCTTGCATTCACCCTCAAAACCATAAACACGGTTCATATCATCAGTCTCATGATTTCCTCTGTTGATGAAGAATGCTGATGGGCGTAACCATTTGTAGGCATACAAAAGGAGCGCAATCTCGGTCGACCAAGAACCTCTATCAACAAAATCACCATTGAATAAGTAATAATGCTTCTCTGTGGGTAGACCATTAAGTCGGAAAAGTTCCATAAGATCGAAAAATTGACCTGAGACTCGATATTAGCTAGAAATGATAAGACGAATACGGACCATTTACCATGTGTATCTCCACAAACAGTCAACTGAGCGTCACTCTCAATCTCCATTTCCACCATCGTTGGTTCATCATATACAATCTTTTGTACCGCCATAACAATTTGATAAACATATTTCTGATGTATTTTCTTGCCGTTCTTGAAACGTTCCAGCATATCATTGATGAACTCGGTTGTCATTTCGTTGCCCAACTGTACACCATCGTAATCCTTCACAATCATATCATCGAGGTTGAGCCCTTCTGATGCAGATGGTGGATCTCCGACCTCGATAGCTCGGAAGAACTCGATCCTTTTGACAATCTTCTCACATTCTGCCAACTTAAGCTTCGCATCCTTATCATTTGGTGCCTTCTTGACAACAGTCTTGAAATCTCTAAGAGCTTCTTTGGATTTTAGGATCGCGGTATATGCAACGGCTCGACGATAGTATGCCTAAGTGGAAATAGTTAGATTCTCAGCTTGAAGGAAAAGAAACGCTGTAATGCAAGGAGCTTTGCCCAACGAACCTTCACAAAATTCGGATCAAGTTCAATGGCTTTCGTGGCATCAGCTATCGCGTATCCATATGCCTCTGATTTGATGTTTGCCTGTCAAACTGTTAATCACGCGAGCAGTTTGAGTGTTGAACGCATTCGAATGTACCTGAGCTCTGTTTGAATAGTATGTAGGCTTTTGGTCGTCAAGTTCTATAGCCTTGGTATATAATTCGATAGCTTTGGGCCAGTCGTGAGCAGCAAAAGCTTTGTTTCCTTCATTCTTCAAGGCAACGGCCTCTTCCTCCCGGGAGGTCATTTTGTCAATAATCAACAATGAAGAGTTTTGGGTACAGAGAGTGCGGGGTTCCGAGTTTATATGAGGGGAAAAATAGTGATAGGAAAGAAAGTGTATTGATAAGTAAAATTTTTTGATAACTTAATAACAGAGATGTTTTCGATGTCCGAAGTCACGAAAGACGTAGCACATACAAAATTGATTATGAAGAGGAAAGTTGAAAGATTGTACTTTGTGAATTACTTTTACCTGTCTGAGTACCTAAAAGTAATTCTTTAGGAGTCCAGAAGCATCCCTGTGGTGGAACATTGGAACATTGGAACATTATCACCGATATCTTTATTGTTGATATTTATCCTTGCACGCGCTTAATCATGGTTACTAGGTACAAGAGCTGCAGGAGATTCCCGTTTTCCATCTCATCTTATCGCATTTTGTATCAAATGTTGCAAGTGACTTTATTATTGCAACAAATAAAGTCAACCATCGGTCAATCTATTAAGTGAGCTTGCTATATATCTATCACTCACCCTCCGAAAACTGCAAAAAGGTAACATATAAACAACTATCATTAATTTATAACCTAATTGACACGACATCTGCAGCCATGGATTTGGTACCATCAAAATCAAAATCAACATCATCAACCTCGACCGCCCTCACAAAACGCGCAAATGAGACTGCTTTAATGCCGCCACCCCCAAAACGCATCAAACGACCAAAGAATGTTATCGATGAAGACGCATATACAGATGCCATATCAGAAATCATTGCTCGAGATTTCTTTCCAGGACTACTCGAAACGGAAACAAAACAAGAATATTTGGATGCGCTTGACTCAAAGGATGGAGCATGGATTACAAGTGCCGAACGCAGGCTTCGACATGTTATGACTCCTGGCAGACGTATTGGAAGACGTGGCACATCTATTCAGACACCATCCGGACCTTCTGAAACACCTGGAGGAATAGTTGGAGATACCCCAATGTCTGTCGCTTCTGATGCAACTCAGGCTCCCAAAGTGGAAGTGGATACAAATATGAGCCTCACCAAGTTCCAATCATTATATACTAGCGAGGACAACGAAAGCTTCTATAAATTATTAGACAAGCAAAATAAGAAACGAGCGGAAAAGTATGCTTGGATGTGGACAGGGAATAAAGTTCCATCGAAGATGATGCTAAAGCAGAAAGAGATTGAAATGAAGCTTCTGCAATCACGAGAATCGCTGGAAGATGATGGGGGAAGAAGGGATAGACTCGCAATCCAAAATGTGGCGGAAAGGCCAGCCCAACCGGATTCCTGGAGATCCCAGCCAAATAATGGATTAATGTTTCGACCTGACAGCGTAGAAGATTCTGTCGAAACTGTGGCACAAAGAGCACAAAATGAGTCAAGGGCTGCTCCGAAAAGTGTTGCATATGCCAACACAAGGCTACCGGATCTTGCACTTCAAGAGGAAGCCACCATACCTTCTTCTCCGTCAATGTCTGCCGTAAGAGATGCGATAGCTGGAAGACGTCGAGTTGAGGACTCGGAATCTGGATTTAATGGAAGCGAAACTCCACGTGTAAATGGGTATGCATTTGTGGATGATGAACCAGAGGATGAATCATATACACCTTCTCCGATCATCGATCTCGGGCCGGGCGAAACAACCAAAAATCCATTCGTAATCAAGGAGCAAAGCAGGCGAGAGGATTTACATCACAGGATGGTTGATAAAACCGCTAGAAGTAAACGCACTTCTGCGAAAAACGGCATGACAGGCAAGGTTGATGCGACCCCTGTGCCCAAATTTCCCAGCAGTCCTAGAGTGGGCTCGGGAGGTCTGACGCCAGCTGCTGAACGGTTATGGAGTCGAGTTGGTGGTTCAGGCAAGGGTGCTAATGATACTTTCGGTATCAGAACACCAGGGACTGTGAGGGCAAAATCTAACCTTCGAGCCCGATGGACTCCTTCCGGGAAACATTGAACGATATTTGATTTCAGAAAGTAAACGGCGTTTTGGAGGTCACATTGATTACAAGATACCCTATGGATGCTAAGTCATCCTCGACATATAGAGAGTGTTTAACGGTCAGGTTTCGCATAGGTATGCACCGTATGTGAATTTTGTAGGGGAGCTAGATTAATATCATTATATTATTGTGAATTTATGTTGATAGCTTCGATTTTGACAATGTACTGCATGCGACGCCATATGATATTCCTTTGTAGATGCAATGTACTTTCGTCTCCTTGATTTCATACTTCTGGTTGTCATCCTTCAGAATTGTGTTGCTACCAATTCGCAATGGTGACGTCTTCAAGGTGTACAGGGATTAAAGGTTAAGCTTCGCAAGAATTGTTCATGAGGTTCGACACCCCTCCAAAAATCAGAACCATTCTTTTGCAGAACTCACTATCTAGTAATTATTCGACATGAATCGATGAAAAAGGTTGAAATAAAAAATTCCTCATAATGGCGGGGAAGAGAATTCTGGACTTGGCCGCTCTATTCAATGCTTCCCGCGGGGTTGCACAGAAGCACATTGCCCTGAAGACGAGGCAAATAGATGTCTACAACAGAACCTCGACTCTAGCAAGAGCAGTACGCAATCAGACGGATCGAGTCACGGAAACTGTAAAGGCCGCATCGTTTCTTGCATCGAGGTTGAATGATAATGTACCGGAATGGACCAAGGAGGCAGCCGACAATACATCGAATTCGCAATCGAATGACAGTGGTCCTGTACCTAACAGAAGCTCCAGCAAAGAACAAGAGCATTCCGCAGGAAAGAAAGAAGGTTTAGAGCAAGATCATTTTTACGAGAGATCAGAATCAAATTCGGCTGTCAATCCGAGACCACAAGGGGATTTGGATATTCAGCAGGAGAAGGCCAATAGTTACCCTCTGCCAGATGGGACAATTCCTCCTAAAGATGCAGATATCCATGCTGCCGAGTTGAATGCAGATACGACTCCGGTCAGAGCTCAAGCCGCGCCTATATTAGATCCCATAGATAATGAGGGGTTGCAATCGGTGGCTTCAAATGCCTCGACAATTCCTATTCCCAGGAGAAAACCTTTGTCCGCAGACGACGCCAAACGTATCCAGCGAGAATATGAGCAACAAATACCATCAATAACAGCAGATACGATTGGGAAGTCGGAAAACTCATTAGAGGAAGGGCATGATGAAGACTCTTTTTATGATAGATCAAAACATACATCACCTAGCTTATCTTCTTTACCTAGGGCCAAGATACCAAAGCACACATCTGATGTTCAAGAAAATGACAAGCATCTGAAACAAGATGCTATAAACTCTGATAATTTCTCAGAGACTGTTCATAGTACTGAAAAGATACCTTCTGTTGAATCGATTCCTGAACAAGAGCAGCTACCCGAGGGTATTAACACAGATCTTTTCCATAGCCCTAGGGTTGCTAGGTTATTAGGAGGTAAAACTCAAGGATCGAGTAACAGCTCTCTAGGCTTAAGAGGAGTAAAAGATACTCCTATAGAACAAACCAAGCTGGCCAGGAATAAAGATCAGGACACCTTTAATGTTCGTTCATCAGTTCAGGCAGAACCAACCACTCCGGATACTCCCTCCAAGCCATTCGTCGAGACTTCTCATCAAAAAGATGCAGATATTGAGAAGCTGGCGGCAGATATTAGCAAAGAAACTAGCAATGATACCGTAATTATAAACTCCTTTAGCACTCGATGCATGTGATACTGAAGTCTGACAGTAATTTAGATGCAACCAGAGGCAAGCTCGCAACCCCCGCCTTATCAGTTGCGAGAGTCTAGTGTTCCTTCTTCAAGACTTGGGAGACTATGGAATTATAGTGGTCTTGCGGCTGGTATGGTCGGGGGAGCCATCAGCGAAAGCCTTCGTCGAGTTAGTGGAGGGGGTGGTGAAGGCTCTTTTATGTTGAGTGCAGGTAATATGGATAGGCTAGTGACTAAGTTGTCACGAATGAGGGGTGCAGCCTTGAAATTAGGTCAAATGATCAGCTTCCAGGACTCAAAAATGCTTCCTGCGCCAATACAAGAAGTGATGCAGCGAGTTCAGGATCGCGCAGATTACATGCCCGCTTCACAGAGAAACAAAGTGTTAAGAGCAAACCTTGGTCCGGACTGGAGAGAATTGTATGGAGAGTTTGAGGAAGTTCCTTTGGCCGCAGCATCTATCGGTCAAGTCCATCGTGCAACACTCAAATCAACGGGTGCGAAGGTCGCTGTTAAGATTCAGTATCCGGGAGTTGCGGATTCAATAGATTCCGATCTTAACAATCTCGCGATCTTACTCACGGCGTCTCGTCTCCTGCCAAAGGGCCTGTTCCTCGATAAAACGATTGCAAACGCCCGAACAGAATTAGCATGGGAATGTGATTACATTCGAGAAGCAGAATGTGGATTACGTTTTCAGGAACTTCTAGCCGATGAAGAGGACGTCTTCGTTGTTCCAAAAGTATACTCCGAAGCATCGGGCAAACAAGTTCTTACTATGGAATATATGGAAGGAGTCGGTGTCACCCGTATTCACAGCTTCACACAAGAGCAACGAGACTGGATTGGAACTCAAATCCTTCGTCTCTGTCTTCGAGAGATTACTGAGTTTAAGTACATGCAAACGGATCCTAATTGGACAAATTTCCTATATAATGCCCAAACCAACAAACTAGAACTTCTCGATTTCGGTGCCTCACGCGAGTATCCAGAGGAATTCATCACTAAATATACACAACTCCTAGATGCAGCCTCCAGATCTGAAAAAGATACAGTCCGCAATCTGTCCATCGACCTCGGGTATCTTACAGGTCACGAATCTAAAGCAATGTTAGATGCACACATTCAATCCATTCTCACTCTCGCAGAACCATTCTTGGAATCCTCTCCGGAGATTTACGATTTCAAGGATCAGACAATTACAGAGAGAGTAAAAGCTCTCATTCCCATCATGCTTAGAGAGAGATTAGCGCCGCCACCAGAGGAAACTTATAGTTTGCATAGAAAGTTGAGTGGAGCTTTTTTGCTGTGCGCGAGGTTGGGTAGTAAAGTCAGGTGTAGAGAGTTGTTTACAAATAGTATGGAGAAGACGAAGTTTCTATGATGAGAGGAGAGGTAGAAGATATGTATAATATGTGTTTGTACATTTGCATTTGGTGTTAGAGATGAGGATGGAGACGTCTAGCTTAGAGAAAGATTCGGGCTGTAGTATAAAATAAATATATAATCACTACTCGTAATATGTCTAGATGTTCCTAAACCTCAAATCAAACCAGATCATAACTTTGGTTTTTATGTTTTCTCTGCTATGCTCTTCTTATTTTTACCATAAATTTGTAAATCGTACCCTAAGCTCACCGAGAATCCCGTCTCCAGATCAAGGCTCAACAGGAATACCCCGCAAAATTAGATATTTTGCGGGCCGGTCCGTCCGCGTCACCTACAGCTGTATATCAAACATTCTACGCGATCTGCAACAGAAAAAACATCATACAAATACAACATGTCTCTCAAAAGTATTCTTGAAAAAGCCAAAGCCAAGGGCGAAGCCTTTGCGGCCCAACATAACTTTACAATCCCCGGCCAATCCACAACACATACTCCTCCACCACCACATGCTGCACCACCGGGATACTATCCCCAAGTTCAACCTCATCGCATCCCGTCAGCTGCACCTGCACCTCCGCCAATTCCCCAAAACAGACCCTCATATTCTGCCATTCATCCTTATTGGAGCCCCTCATTCTCTCCACATGTTCCCGTTTCCGATAATTTCAGACATCAACTTGGAGATCATGGATGGGGAAACAACGAACTCCAAAACTACATTGCCGATCGGGAAAATTCCTTCCACGACGAAAATGGTTGTTTAGTCCTCCGAGCTATATCTTCCAACGGTAGATTCACAAGCGCTCGATTAACGAGTCATATGACACTTGCCCGCGACCGCGGCAGTCTCGTAGCAACTATAACACCACCGTGTGCTTCGGGAGTGTGGCCCGCATTCTGGCTCTTACCCCGCGAACCGTTTACATGGCCCAATGATGGAGAGATCGATATTATGGAAACGTGGAATGGAGATTCCGTTAATCATACTTGTTTACATTGGGGACATTTCAACGGGGAAGATTGGAATAAACATCGAGTCGTGGAGACGCCGGTGCATCATTTGTACTCTGCGCAACATACATATGAGTTTGCGTGGAACCAGCCGGAGAATGGCATAGGTGGAAAGATGGTTTGGTATATTGATGGAAAGGTGGTTATGAGGGCTCATGTGCCCGAGGGAACTAGAAGATTAAATGATTTTCAGGTTATTATTAATGTGGCGATGGGAGGGAATGTGTGTCAAGGGAAGACTCCAGAGGATGGGTGTTATGATTTGAGGATTCATGGCTTGAAGATGTGTGATGAGCCGACGGGTGGGTGGGAAAAGTTTGAGCATGATTTTCATCATGGGCCTGAGGGTCATGCGATGTGAGGGCCTGTGTGGCTGTATCAAGATCGATAGACTTGTCGAGGAAGTCGATGAGGTTGAAATTTTGGATAAAACGCTGTGTCTCATTTCGACCCGTTTGGGTTGTAGATAGTAGTAATTTTCTTTCCCTAGCTTGCGGAGTTCTTGGATGTTTGCCGAATATTAGAAGTCTACATTTCGAAGGGAGGACCATTCTCAAAAGAACAAAAGCGTTCTTACCCTATGTTCTAGGAGAAATAATATACTTTCCATGGGTCTCTGCGTGATCCAATAGAAACGGTATTCACATACCTGAAGTTTCCACGCATTTGTAGCTCTTTAGTATTTACTATATTGCACCTACCTAATGGATTATTCTTGGCAGAACGGCAAACAGGCGGGAGGACAGAAACTCACAGTTGAGTCTACTGCTGCTGTTGTGCATGTCTCTGTACTAGAGATTTAGCATCAACTCAGAACTTTACTTTTTTGCTCAGTTCCGCCGCTTACTATTTGGGCAAAATCATGTCGGCTTGGTTATATCGAGATGTTGTCATTCTGGCCCTGAAATTGATGAAGATTCTCCGTGTGAAGTTAGTGATTCTAGGCTGGATGTTTTGATTCGGATTCCTGATTTGTTTTAATCAGATCATTGCTGTTTACACATAGATAGCGTAGAAAATCTACCTTCCTGTGAGTATTTAAATCTGAGTATAGTTTGAGCATTCGTATTATATCCTACCTAGTGTCGGACTAATAATAAGTTTAAAGTACCAAGTATCCATAGAATCAAATGTCATCTCTCAGATATGATTCTGCGTTCAATAACTAGATCCTACTTTCAACATTTCTTATCAGCAATTCCCCATGTGAATATTCAAACCCATAAACCTTTGGTTAGTCATCTATTATGCTTCTCGTCCATGAATGCTACTATTACTACGAATGCTTCACAATAGTCCAGTCATTTCAGCATTTCACAGTCATCTCGACTATTCCATTGCTTTCCTTGTTGTATCACTCAGTCGTTTTGGCAGTCATTTCATTCCCATTCTAGTCATTTTGGCCCATGTCAAGTCATTTATGACCAGAAATTTAGAAATCCCAAAATATTCATGACAATCCATACTCATGAGTAATAATTTCCTCAAGATCTGTGCTACAGCGGAGCAAAGTAGCATTTAAACAATCGCTTTCCCCTCCATTCCTTAGACATTCCTTAGACTTCTTCTTTACATCTACAACAAAATACCACCGCTAAAGATTTACACATATTTCAACATGTAT